GTGGTTAATATCCTCTTGGTTCAATTTTGGATGGTCATATGTATCTAGAAATTTGTCTATTTCTTTTAGATTTTCCAATTTATTTGAATAGAGGTTCTCAAAGTAGTCTCTAATGATTCCCTGTATTTCCTTGGTGTTTGTTATTATCTCCAGCATTTCATTACTGATTTTATTAATTTAGGTCTTTTCCTTCCACATTTTAGTCAGACTTGCCAGGAGTTTGTCAATCTTGTTTACTTTTTCAAAGAACCAGCTTTTTTTGTTTTGTTGATTCTTTGTAAGTTATTTTTGGTCTCTTATTTTGTTGACTTCAGCCCTTATGTTTATTTCTCTCCTTCTGCTTGTTTTGGGTTCTTGTTTTTCTATGAGTTTGAGATGAAGCATTAGGTCATTTATTCAAGATCTTTTTGTGTTTTTAATATACGCACTGATGGCTATAAACTTTCCTCTTAGGACTGCCTTTGCTCTGTCCCACAGATTCTAATAGGTCGTGTTTCATTTTCATTAAATTCTAGGAACTTTTTGCTTTCCTCCCTTAATTCTTCTGTAATCCACTGATCATTGAGTAACATGTTGTTCTGCTGCTTTTGTTGTTTAATTCTAGTTTTATTGTATTGTGGTCAGACAGTATGCAGGGGTTTATTTCAATTTTGTTGTATTTGTTGAGACCTGCTTTGTTACTTAAGATATGGTCTATTTTGGAGAAAGTTCCACGAGTTGCTGAGAAGAATGTATGTTGTGCTGTTGCAGGATGGAATAACAAATGGACAAATTTTTTAAAAATAAGTCTCAACCTCACTAAAAATCAGAGGAAAACAGAAAAGAAAGATAATAGTACTCAGTCATCAGTTGTTAAAAATTATACTATCGATAGTATCTAAGGTGGTGAGACTCTGGGAAAATAAGACACTGATGCATGGTTGCTACAAAAGATGACTCACACTGCTTATATTTGGAAAGCAAATCTGTGGTGCTTACCAAAATTAATTATCTGGCTATCCTTCAACTCTCAGGAATCAATACTTCAGAAATACAGATATATTCAGATTGCCTTTGAATATGCTATTCCTCAATTGTAGAATGCTTTTTCCTCATTTTTGTGTAGAAAACTTACTCATGCTTCAATGCTGAGCTCAACCATCTTTCTCATATTCAGGCCACATGTATTTCTTCTTTATATTCTTATGCCTAATCATATGGGCCAAGTCCCATACTGAGGCTTATGTAACAGAAGGCAACACAAAACAAGGAACTGACCAATCAGAAGCAATGTGAGAACATGATCTTTTTGTGAGTGAAACAGTGATGACAGCCAATGGAAGAAAACAATTACTAGGCTACTATCTAGAGAACCCAGCAAAGCAGACCCATATATAGATTCCAAAGCACAAGAACACTGGTTAACAAAACAAAACAAAAAGAGTTTATGGTAAGAGAGTAATTCCTGGTCATTCCTGAAACTAAGTCCAATTTATCTTTTTTTTTTTTAAGTAGAAAAGAGTAACATTCCTTAAAAGAGAAAAATCTGAAAATCAAATGACCTCTTATAAAGCAGATTGTGCTAACACTTCGTTATCTCCCAAAGCATAGGCCACAAATCATTCTCTTACAGTTGCATATAAAATCTGAGTGCCGAATGCTGTAGATGTGAATTTGGTAAGATTTTAATTATCATAATTGGAATTGGTATAAAGTACAACTTTATACCTCTCCTCCATCTTTGGATGGATTCCTTTTGTTCAGTCCTTTTAAAGAGCTCAGTGTGATTAGCATTTCCAAGAAGACTTCAGGATAAATTTTAATACATAACATCTTCTAAACTGTCTTTCCTGAAATAAGATTTGGTTAGATCCAGAATATTATTTTTTGCCTTTCCACTACTCTTTCAATCTGTAAATTATGCATTTATCACTTATTCATTTAACAAATGCTTTCTGAGTATGCTGAAAGAACAAATGAGAAAAGCATTACTTAAAACAGTCTTGACCACAGTGCTCAAGTTGTGCATGACACCTCTAGATTTCTTCATCTACACATCTGCTACTTTATGTCCTTTCACCTGCATCTCTTCATTTCCTTCCACACATCCCCTCAGTTCCTGGTAACTACTATCTTATTGCCTATCTTTGTATGTTTGACACTTTCAGTTTTGATTCCACATATAAGTAAATTAAGGCAGTATTCTTTTCTCTGTGGCTGGCTTATTTCAAATTTAATATCCTCCAGAGCTATCCATGTTGTGCCAAGTGGCAAGACCTCCCTTTTTTTTTTTTTGGTACTGGGGCTTGAGCTCAGGGTCTTGCACTTGTGTGTTTGAGCTACACCTCCACTAGCCTGTTTTACTTTTAGGGTATTTTTCAGATAGGGTTTTACATTTTTGCCTGGGGCTGGCCTCAGACTGCCATGTTTCTACCTACAGCTAACTATATGCTTGCCATGGTTGAGATGGGGTCTCCTTAACTTTTTGCCTGGTACCACAATCCTCCTGATCCCTGCCTTCCCAGTAGCTAAGATCACAGGTGTGAGCCTCTACACCTGGCTAGGACCGCTTTTTTAAATGCTGAACAATACATATTCTAAAGTATATATGTATAGCATGTTTTCTTTATGCATTCTTCCACTGACAAAACAGTTGAGTTATTTCCCTATCTTCTCTATTATGAACAGTGAAGAGATGAACATGCCATTGTAGGTGTCTTTATGAGGTGGTTATTTCAACCCCTTTGGGTAGTGTCTAGAAGCAGGATTGCTGGGTCACACAGTAGTTTTATTTTTAATTTCCTCAGGGATCTCTCTACTGTTTCCCATAAAAGATAAACCAATCTATATTCTCACTAATAATATACCAGGGTTCCTTTTTATCCTTTATCTCCATATCCTCACTAAGATTTGTTATTTCTTGTCTTTGGACAACATGAGGACTATAATTAATAAAAATTATATTAGTAATTATTTCTTTATCTGTTTACTTGTGTGTTCATTTTTGTGGTACCTGGAATTGAATCCAGGGCTCCACCACTGAGCAACACCCCCAGTCCTATACTGAAGACTTTTATTGAAAAGACTGTAGCTGCCCTTGTCACAGGGAAAAAAGCCTATGTGAAATGATAGTATGGTTAGTTACACTATAGCTACCATTTTACTCTCTATGTACATTCCACAGCATCATGTTGTAAACATCAAATATACATAATAAAATTTATTTTTAAAAAATCTTGAAATCTACATGGAAATTTTGACCACACTAACCTTTTAATTTTTTACTTAAAAGGAAAAACTGAGTTACTGGGCCAGTAACTTAGAACAAAATTTGAAAATAACTCATAAACAAATAAACCAAGACAGTAAGTTACTCTCTACAAAGAAGATCTTCATAGTATTAGTAGAGAAATGGTGCACACACACAATAAATGTATAAAAATAGAAGAAAACATAAAAATGAACAGTTGTAATAATATATCTACTTTACAAAAAATTAAAACTTAAGCTAGGGTTCAGTTAAAAGTGGTGAGATCAAATTTTACCTGTTATTAAAACAAAACAAGTAACTTAAAATTAACAGATTAAACACTGAAACAGACTGGAGAAAAAGAGAAAAACAGAGCATCTTACAGACTGGACCAGGGATGCTTCCAGTAAAACTGAAAATCCACTACTAGGTCAAGTAAGGAACCACAGGCACAGAGCCTCAGTTTATCACTGACTATACTGAACTCTTTCTACCATGCCATTTCCTGGGTTCCAATTTCTTTACCAGGAAAATAAAGGGGTGGAACTAACTCATCTTCAAAGGTCCCCTTAAGCTCTGATACATGTTTTTTAATAGTTAATGTGTTCCCACTCCAAAGATAAGCAAACTTTTATACTGTTTTCATTAATCAAGAAAATTAATCCTTTTTAGTCTGGGCATGAAAACAAATAGTGAGATCATTTCAGTGTCCCAATTATAAAAACAGATTTTGAAGAGTTACCAGCATAAGAAGTTTACTTAATACTCAAAAATATTGTTATAGAACTGCCACAGTTTAGATCTAGAGTATACCTCACAAAAGCTCATGTGTCAAAAGCTTGGCTCCCTAGGGAACCAAGGAACCATCTTCACTATGGGAATATGGCAGGACCTTGGAAAGACGGGGCCTTGTAAGAGGTCAAAGATCACTGAGGGCATGCCATCAAATGGACACATGAGACACTAGCCTCTTCGTTCACTCTCTTTTTGCTTCCTGGACACCATGAGGTGAGCAGCTTCCTCTGCCATGTGCTCCTACCATGGTGTACTTACTGCCACCACAGGCCCCAAAGCACTAAGCCAATGGACATGAACTGAAACCTTCAAACCTATAAGCCAAAACAAACCTTTCCTCAAGTTGGTTACCTTAGGTATTTTGTTACCGTAACAGTAATGATGAACACAGACACTCAGAGGTATCTAATTATTATAGTTTGGATTTAAAATGGCCTCAAAGGCTCATATACTGAAGGCTTAATCCCCAGCTGATGGCACCACTGAGAAGTACTTGCATAATGAGGATGCTACCTCATCAATGGGTTAATCCAGGCTCAATGGCCTGTTAGGAGGGGGAACCTCGTTGGGAGCTTGTCTTTAAAGGGCCCCCAGCAATAAATCCAGCTGACCATGGACTGAAACCTCTGAAACTGGGAACCAAAATAAATCTTTCCTCTAAGTTGTTTTGCTTGGGTTTTCTGTCACAGTGAAGAAAGTGACTAACACTACAATACAGAATGTTATTCAGAGAATACTGCAGTGATTACTGAACTGTCTACATTACCTGATGGATAGGGTAAGTATAGTTATAAACGTAAGATTAAACAACTTTGTATACTCTTATCTCAATTACTTCTAAGGCTCCTGACTCACTTCTGGCCACTTTTATAAAATGCTCCTGAAGGCTGACAAAACTGTATCATGTAGTATAGTACTGTCACATGAGTTATTCTTTTTACTTAACAGGTCTACTTCAATAAACTTAATAACTTACCGCCCGAGCTGAGTCACCAAAGTCTATCTTCAACCTCCCCATGGCCCTAATGATAGCAATGATTGACTGGATGGTGTTACTGTAGACCACTGCTTTGTATTGTTTACATTCTTCCTCCGAATAACCAGCCTCGTGGATAATTCTAATGAGACGAAAGGCAAGAAGAACACTTACTTCCTTTCACAGAAGGGTACACTTAAACATAAAAAACAAATTCAATGATTTAAATCTACTTACTTCATCTGCTTCACAATTGTACTCTTCCCAGATTCACCAGCACCTAAAAAATAAAACAAGGGATTTCTAATTTCAACATCATCACTTGAGTATATCCAGTTCCCAGTACACACGCACTATGTATCTCCTATAGCTGAATTTTGTTTTATATTAAAATGAGATACAAAGCAGCAAACATATAGGATGAACAAGTATAAAGACCTACTGTACAACATTAGGACAGTTACTTATAGTGTACAGTATTCAGAATATTTTTCTGTTGTAGTGCTGGAGAGTGAACCCAGGACCTTGCACATGCTAGGTAAAGGTTCTGCCACTGACCTACACTCCAGCCCTGCATTCAGGACTTCTGCTAAGTGAGTGGATTATAGCTGTTCTTATCACAAGAGGAAAAATAAGTAATTACATGAAATGATAGCTATGTTAACTTTTTCACAACAGTAACTGCTTTACTAGGTTTGGCTATGTTCTAACATCATGTATACCTTAAAGTACACAATAATATTTTAAAAATGCAAAATGAACTTTATTGATTTCCGAATATAACAAAAGTTCTCAGATATAAGCCCACTTGTCTGTTACTTTAGAATACTAAAATTCAATAAACTCAATTGAAGAAAAAAACTCTTCATTGTTGTGGATTCTCTAAAGCATTAAAAAATTCAATCTTTTATTACAAACCGAAGAACTATAAATTAGTTTTATTCAAGATTTTGTTCCACTTTGGAAAATTTTTTTAACTACCTAGCCAATTATAATAATCTTAACGTTTGGCTCTTGTGAAGTAAAATGGTAGTGCTCATATGAAAAAATTTAAGGCCGGGCACGGTGGTGTCCACCTATATAATCCCAACACTCGCAGATGCAGGCCAGTCTAGGCTACATAATGAGTTCAACGCTGGCTTGGGCTATGTACGTGTCTTACTAAAATAAAATATGAAATAGAACATTTTTCTATCTTCCTAGGGACACCTTTCCTTTACAGTGTCTTATGCTCAGCATTACTAAGAAATGTGTGGTTTCAAGAACACACTGCTGATCATGGCACAACCTTCAAATTCACTACTTCCCTGCTCAGATGCATTTTGTTCTGCTTTCTCTTGCCACCCTGCTGATTCTCTATCAACCAAAAATCTTATCGTCTTTGTCAACCCCTTTTGACCCACTCCACATGGGATATCTGATGCATGTGTTTCTACCTGAATTCTCAGCAACTATATGGTGCTAGACACGGTCAAATTTTATTTAAGTTATTTGTGACTGACACAACAAGATGGTAAACTTCTAGGCTTCATCTTTCTCTTCACCTGCTTTCCCTGGCACACACACACACACACACACACACACACACACACACACACACACACACACACACACACACACCATCCCACGTATCTGAGAACAGGTTGTAGTTAAATGGCCTATTTGGAAAATTCAGAAAGAAAGCCAGCTAACTTGTGGTTTGATATTCAGAAAAATTTTCCAAGATACCCTCACATTAAATAGAGAATCAGTCATTGAATAAACAGTAAGAGCATTCTTCACTTACAGGCAGCAAGCCTTTGAATCTTTCAGGTCATCTGCCAATAAAAACAATTCCAAGATAAACAACCTATTATTTATTATTAATTGACAACAGTATGCTTGGCTCTGTGAGAAGCACACTTGCAGGCATTATGCGTGTATCACACATTTCTCTGATCCAGGCTTGGTCACCTAAGGCCACACAGGGGAGGCCACTACGGAAGGCATTTTCCAGGAAGGCCATGGGTAAGAGGTCGCACTGGGTTTTCAGAGTGCTGCAAGTTGAGTCTGCAGCTGCCATACTGTGATGGGATATGCCAGACGCCAGTATTCATCCACAGGGGTGACTCCACACACACACAGAGAGCTACCATGAGTAACCACCCCTGATCTGTGCTGTTAGGGAAACAGCTCAAAGGCTAGAGAAAGGCTCACACAATAGAAGCTAGTGAGGACTGACAGCCATGTGAGGGAGAAATCAGAAACAGTAAAGAATAAAAGATCATTCCCAGCTGAACTATGTGTGAAGCGAGAATTTTTTAAACTTAATGAGAAAAAACTTTTCTGATGCTAGATATCATCTTTAAATTCTAATTCACTATATTGCAATGAGCACGTAGTCTGTGGCTAGTGGTTCAAAAGTTGTGAGGTCTGATTGGCACTAAAGAGTGAAGATGGTAATCGTATTAATTGGATTTCTACTCCCCTCACGAGTGACAAAGTACTCTTTGTAGAATAGCTATCTAGTGATAGAAACCCTGAAAAATCTTTCAAAGCTTACCAATTTATGCAATTAATTTTCAATTCTCACTTCCATGAAGAGAGACTCCCATCAATAAAGCTAATGTACATGATGAAGGTTTCAAGGTTCTAAACACTGATATTCTCTCTCCAATAGAGTGTACAGGAAAGAGTTAAAGGCTGTTCTCTACCAAAATCAGTCATGCTTGGTTGAGAGACTGGCAGGAAACAATCATATTTAAAAACAACAAACAAACAATAAAACCCACACTGAGTGGTGAAGGGACAGGGTCAGGGAGAAAGGGACAAATGTTCCAGGAAGATCTCAGTCAGGCAGCTATTACTTTTCACTTCAATCCAGAGTGAGAAAGAAAAATGCCCCTACTCTACCACCAGCAACATGAAGAAACAAGAAATGTATGCACAGCATGCATCAGTCAGGAAAGATGTAAGTGTGTGGCCATTGGAGTCTCAAGGCCTGGCAGGTAAAGGTGACAAGTGGCTTGTAAAATAACTGCAGTGAAGTGAGTGAAGGGAAGGTGATGGTGTTTCTCAGAGGCCTACTAATGCTTGCATATGGTCCACAGGCCTGTGGCTAGGAAGCCAAAAGAGAGCCCAAGGCACAGAGGTGAGCTCTCCCTCGTCTCCTTTAAGGAGCAAGTGGCCAATGGAGAATGCATCTCTGAGAGCAAAGGCAGACCCAGCAGGTCTGTGAAGAGGAGCTTAGCAAATGTGACTGCAAAACAGATGCTGGAAGGAAGGGCAAAGGAGCTTTACCAGTTGCAGGGAGAGGGAGCACTGCCTCCCAAAGGTACAACAGCCCACTAATGGGATCCATGAAGGGAAATGCATAAAGTCAGGAAGGAGGAGGGGTGGGGAAAAGCTGAAACAAATCAAAATCTAAGCTAAGTAACTATCGGCTAGATCCTAATTCCTTGATCAGAATTACAGAAAAATGATAACCAAGTTAAGTGTCTCTGCCCCTATAACACAGCAAATTTTAAAGTTTTTTTTATCGTTTTGTGGGTGGGGGTACATTATAACATTTACAAAGGTTGCTACAATGTATCAAATATATCATACTTGAATTCACCCCCAATTCAATGTTTTAATGCTGGCAAAATTTAAAAACAAATATTTTTGACCTCAGAAAACAATTTTTTTAATGAAAATCTTTTGTCCGATTCTTGTTTTAAGGTCACATTTACATCACTTATTTCCTGGCTACAGGGTTGTTGGCTGCCCAAGGTCATGAAGTGATCAGCTAGTAATATGGAAATTATATGATGAATTCCTGACACTACTACTCTCCTTTTTTTTAAAAAAAATCCTAATTACTTATGTAGAAGTTAACAATTTAAATTGCTTACATTAAATAAAACTAAATTAAAATTTAGTTAAATGAGACAAAATTAAATTACACGTATATTTAAGTTACTTGTTTATCACAGTGCTAACATAAGATTATAAAGATCAAAGTCCTTTTATTTAAGAAGTACATACAGGAGACAAGATGGCAAATAAAAATTAAAAATGATAGAGGCTTAATTCTCCCTGTTAAAAGGGAAAGAGATTGCTCTTCCTCCTTTTCCTTAGAGTATTTAGTTTAGAAAATTCAATAATTTTTCCCTTTCTTTGAAATGTATATATGTCTCTTGAAAACTAAATACGTCTTTGGCCAGTCTGAAGACCTGGAATGTATTCCTCAAGACTGGAGCCAGAACTTCTCTAAAGACAGAAATTTGTCTCTCTCCTGAATACGGCTAACTAACTAATCCAGATGGTCATTTCAATTGCCACAGCAAAGTTAGGATGAACCACCTGTGAAAAAAGGTGCGGTCAAGTCCTCCTGAGGACATGGTAAGTGTTTATCTTGTCAACATGTACCCAATGGCTCAGCTGGGCTGTGTAAGGGGTGAGATTACTTCCGTATTTCGATATCTAGCAGCTAGCCTGTGACAGGAGTCACATCACCTGGCACTCTGGTTTAATGCCTATTCAATACTACTTTTGTGGAAATGCAAATTAAAACCACACTAAGATTCCACCTCACCCCTGTTAGAATAGCCATCATTAGCAACACCACCAACAACAGGTGTTCGAGGATTGGGGGGGGGGGGGGAAGGAACTCTCTTACCCGGCTGGTGGGAATGTAAACTAGTACAACCACTCTGGAAAAAAATTTGGAGGCTTCTTAAAAATCTAAACATAGATCTGCCATATGATCCAGCAATACCACTCTTGGGGTTATACCCAAGAGACTGTGACATAGGTTACTCCAGAGGCACCTGCACAACCCACACGCATTTATGCGGCACTTTTTCACGAATACGCCAAGTTATGAGAAACAGCCAAGATGCCCCACCACTGACGAAGGATTAAGAAAACTGGTATCTAACACAATGGAATTCGCATGCAGCCATGGAAGAAAGAATGAAATAATGTTATCATTCGCTGGTAAATGGATGGAATTGGGAAAACTCATTCTGATGTAGGTGTAGCCTGGCCCAAACAGACCAAAAAATTCCATTTCTCCCTCTTATGCAGACATTAGATCAAGGGCAAACACAACAAGGGATGGACTTTGATCACATATAAAGCGAGCACACCTTGGGAGGTATGAGCGATAGGTAAGACACCAAAAAACTAGATAGCATTTGTTGCCCTCAATGCAGAGAAACTAAAGCAGATACTTTAAAGCAACGAGCCAATAGGAAAAGGGGACCAGACACTAGAGAAAAGGTTAGATCAAAAAAGAATTAACCTAGAAGTAACA